AGGACCTGCAGGGTACACCCACTTACCATCTCTATTCTCAATGCTAAAAATATTTTAAAAAAAATATAAAAGATTCCACATCACAACTTAAACATGCCTGTCTGCTTTCTCTCCACAACAGCCACAAATGTTCTGGGAAGAGAAATGTATGGAAAGGAAGGCTTGCTGCACAGGCTTAGGGATGTGGGAGAGGGGATGTTCTCTCCAAGGAGCTCCTTGGAAGGAGAAAACAAGAACAAAGCCCATCTTCATGAATGCCAGGAGAAGCCACAGCCACCATACTCACCTCCCCTGAATAACTGTACTTCCCCTTTAGGATCTGCCGGTAGAGCCTGGACCGGTTGTCATCTTCAAAGGGCATAGTTCCACTCAGGAGGATGTACGATATGACCCCCAGGGCCCACATATCCACAGAGTTAGTGTAGGGCTTCCTGACTAGTATCTCTGGGGCGATGTACTCAGGAGTGCCACAGGTAGTCTTCATGAGGCAGTCATCCCCTTTCTTCCGGGCACTTGCCAACCCAAAGTCAGTGATCATGATCTTTGAGTCTGTGCCTGGGTGATAATACAACAAGTTTTCTGGCTTCAGGTCCCGATGTGTGATGCCCAGTGTGTGCAAGTACTTGACCCCATCCAGCACCATCTGCAGTACCCGGGTGGCATCTCTCTCAGTAAAGGAGCCTTTGGCAATGATCCGGTCAAACAGTTCTCCACCAGTGGCTAGCTCCATCACCATGTAGACACGTTCCTGTGTCTCAAATACTTCAATGAGCTGGATGATGTTAGTATGGCGAACCCGTCGTAAGACACACAGCTCAGATTCACATACTTCCCTCCCTTCCCGGTACTTGGTCTCAATCATCTTAATGGCATAGGGCTGTTTGGTAGCCTTATGCTCTACCCGCACAACTCTGCTGAAGCTGCCCCGTCCAATTAAGGCCTTGATATCATATTTAGCTGTTACTCGAGGATCAAATTTAGCCCGGTATTTGGCCACTCTGGTCCTTCGGGGCTCATGAGGCTCCATGTGGTTGGCCAGATGGGCACCCAGATAAGGCTGAATGTGATAAGGGGGTGATGGGCATCCAGTTTTAAGGCCCCCACCTCCATCATCTTTGATGAAATGCTTATACACATCAGTCTTGTGGCCAGTGTAAGGCTCAACCTTTTTGACCAGATCCAGTTGTACATCCGTGGGAGGCTCAGGAAGGACCTTACTTGTCCCACAGCCCATCACGGAAGGGAGCTAAGCAGCCATGGAGGCATTCTCTCAGGTCAAGGCCAGCAGGATCTGCTGTGCAGGTCGTGTCTCTGTCTATACCTAGACAGAAAAGAAACAAAGATGATCAAAATCACAAAATTTCAGAGATTAAAGGGCTTCAAAGATCACAGAGTCTAACCCCACCCCTCATCAAAAATTCTTTCTATAATATCCCTGAAAAATAGTCATCCAGACTCCATTAAGACATTTTCAGGGATAGAGAACTCAGGATAACCTCATGAAGCAACCCATTCCTTTGGGGGACAGCTTTCATTCCAAGCCTTTCCTTACAGCAAGCCAAAATATGCCTCTGCAACTTGTACTCATTATTCCTAATTTTGTACTGTGGGGCCAAGCAGAACAAAACTAATCTTTCTACATAACAACTCTTCAAATACCTGAATAAAGAAATTACTGCTAGACTCAGTAACCCTAGTTTTTTCAACTAATCCTCATTGGCATAATCTCCAGTCTTTTCACCATCCTAGTCACATTCCTGTAGATGGACTTCAAGAAAAATTTCCTTCCTAAATGATGGTACAATCACCTACTTCTCTTAATGCAGTTTAGGAGAGCATTATTTTAGTTTTTTTTGTTTTTGCTCTCCTGTCACCTTGCTGATTTATACTGAATTTTTACTGTACTAAAATCCAGATCTTTCTCACATTAATTAGTTTAACCATGCATTCCTCAATCCTATTGACTTTTTGAACCAAAGTGTAGGATTTTACATGTATTCCTGTTAAATTTCAACCTACTAGATTTAGCCCATGGTAGATGGGGGAATGGGGAGGAGATATTTCATTGATTCTTTCTTTTTTTTTTAGTAGCACTGTCACACCCTAAAGATTCTATTGATTACCCTCTCCATTCCCAGAAATGGAACCCTCTCTTTTTTTTTCTTTTTTTTAATTAATTTATTTTTAGTTTTCAATATTCACTTCCATAAGATTTTGAGTTCTAAATTTTCTCCCCCTCTCCCCTCCCCACTCCCCAAGACAGCATGCAATCTGAGATAAGCTCTACTTATACATTCATATTCAACATATCTTCATACTAATCATGTTGTAAAGAATTAGAACCAATAAGAGGAACCACAAGAAAGAAGAAACAGAGAGAGAGAGAGAGAGAGAGAGAGAGAGAGAGAGAGAGCAAGCAAACCGTATGCTTCGATCTACATTCAGACACCATATTCTTTTTCTGCATGTGGATAGCATTTTTCCACCACGAGTCTTTTGGAGTTGTCTTAGATCCTTGTATTGCTGAGAAGAGCTAAGTCTATCAAAGTTAGTCACCAAACAATGCTGCTGTTACTGTGTACAATAGACCATACAAGTGTTTCCCGGTTTTTCTGAAGTCTGCCTGTTCATCATTTCTTATGGAACAATAGTATTCCATTACATTCATATACCACAACTTGTTCAGCCATTCCCCAATTGATGGGCATCCCCTCAATTTCCAATTCTTTGCCACCACAAAAAAAGCTGCTATAAATATTTTTTGTACATGTGGATCCTTTTCCTACTTTTATGATCTCTTTGGGATACAGACCTAGAAGTGGTAATGCTGGATCACAGTTTTATAGTCCTTCGGGCACAGTTCCAAATTGCTCTCCAGAATGGCTGGATCATTTCACAACTCCACCAACAATGCATTAATGTACCAATTTTCCCAAATCTTCTCCAACATTTATCATTTTCCTGTTTCATCATGTCAGCCAAAGTGAAAGGTGTGATGTGGTACCTCAGAGTTGTTTTGATTTGCATTTCTCTAATCAATAGTGATTTAGAGCATTTTTTCATATGACTATAGATAGCTTTCATTTCTTCATCCGAAAACTTCCTTTTAACAATTAAGCCAAACAAATCAAGATAATGGCCATGTTTAAATGTATGAATGTCTAAAATGTATGAATCTTTCCATACCTCTAGTCTACTACCTCTCTGCTGAAAGGTGGGAGGATAATTCAGTCCATTATTCCAACCTATTGAGATCCTGACACTGTTATTCAACATGTTAGCTCTCCCTCCCAACTCTGTCATCAGCAAACTTGACAAGAAATGTCCAACTAGACTATCATCCAAGTGAATTCAATTTAACAAACATTTAATTGCCTACTATGTGTAAGGCACTGTGGTAGAAGCTGGGGGTACAAAGATTAAAAATGATAGCCCCTATGAAATAGTCCAACCATTCTAGAAAGCAATTTGGAATTAATGCCCCAAAAAGCTATTACACTGTGCTCACACTTCAACAAGGAATAAAAAAAAAAAAAAAAAAAAGAAGAGAGAGAGAGAAATCACCCATATGTATAATATTTATAGCAGCTTTTTTTGTGGTGGCAAAGAAGGAAATTAAAGGGATGCCCATCAATTGGGGAATGGCTTAATAAGTTATGGTATATGGATGTGATGGAATACTATTGTGCCATAAGAAATGATGAAGGGGATGGCTTCAGAAAAACCTGCAAAAATTTGTATGAACCGATACAAAGTAAAGTGAGCAAAACCAGGGGGACAATTTATACAGTAACAGTAATATTGTAAAGATAATCAACTTTGAAAGCTCAGTAATTCTAATCAACAACAATGACCCGCCACAGTTCCAAAGGACTCATGATGAAATATGATATCCAAACCCAGATAAGATAACTGATGGACTGGTTTTTTTCTTTTTCTTGCTTTTTTTTTTTGAGTGGAAGGAACATAGCTAATGTGGAGATTTGTTTTAGAGGACTATGCATATTTGTAATGGAGTGCTTTTTTTTTCTCTTGTCTTCTCAATGGATAGGAAAAGGGAAAAGGAAAGGAAGGGAGTTTAGAACTGAAAATAAAATTGAATTTTTTAAAATGATATTCCCTGCCCTCAAGGAACTTAGAGGCTAATGAAGTCAAATAGGAAAACTATAGGTCAATATGCAGAATTTTACCTAGCCATTTTCCAGAATAGGAAGATACCTGTATCTTTTCTTTCTGATTAAAATATTTAGTAGCATGTGCCTGTTCCTTGCAGAACAGGCTCTAGGAAAATGTTTTTCTCTATAAGACCTGACAGTAAAATAGGCAGAAGGAAAACCATTTAGTAAGTTGAACTTAAGGCATGATATTCTAAGGAGTAGTGTAAACTGTACACACTTGCTAGAAAAGGATAATTGAGGGAAAAGAATACCAGCTCTGGAGGCAGAGGACCAGATTCAAATCTTACCAGTGAGGGTTACTGTCTGCACAACCCTGGGCAACAAACTTAACCTCCCTGGACCTCAGTTTCTTCATCTGTAAAAGAGGGGAGTTTGACAGCCTCAAAGTACCCTTCCAGCACTAATTTTTCAAGTCATCAACATTCATACTACAGTTTAATCTTATTTTGTAAAGAATATATACTTCTATCACTGAAAATCACAGAATCATCATTTTAGAGTAAAAAAGGAACTTAGATATCATCTGTTTCAACACCTCAGTTTTACACATAAGAGGTAGTCGTACTTTAATGAAAAGAACATTGGACGTGCTGTCACAAGAACTGAGTTCAAATCTACCCTAACCAGTTGTGTACTTTGACTCTCATTTTTTCTTAATGTAAAAAATGGAGATAACATTTGTACTCTCTACTTCACAAGACTGCTGTGAAGAACGTATGAGATAACTGCATAAAGTACTCTATAAACCATAAAATACTATATATAATTCTATCAGCTATAATTGTTTCAGTTATAGAATCTCAGGTCCAACAAAGCAAAGCTAAACAACTGGTCTTTACAAATTTGTGTATCATCCTCACTCAAGGACTTTGCTCATCTTTTCTGTATCATTCCTATTTTAGTGTATGTGCTGCCAAAGAGAACACTGAATGACTTGTCCAAGGTCACAAAGCAAATCAGTAGCCAAGCTCAAACCAGAACTCAAGTTTCTGCCTCTCTGCCTAGCACTCTTTATGTTGTACCATTGATCCCCAGATTTACAGCCTCCTAGAATCTGAGGAGTCAACTGTTCCATTTCCAAGTGGATGAAATACAACCCAAACAGGAGAAATGACACTGCTATCTGTCAAAGTCAGCCTTAAACTCTGGACCAGTAAAAAACATGTGATATCCATATGGCCAATTGTCAGTTTAGTTTGAGAGGTGAGAGACAATACAGGACATCGAAGAGAAAGCTAAAAGCTTAGTTCTGGCCTAACTCTCTCTCATCAGGCTGAGTGACCTGTTTCTCTAGGGGTGAGATGAGAGAAAACGGGACGTGTCACCCACCCACTTCACAGGCCTACTGTGACACTTAATTCCCTGTAGTCAGTTCACCTCTTGCAAATGCTTAGTGCTAAAGAAAAAGTCAGTCTCCAACAAGGGTCCCCGACCTTTCTGTGGCAGGTCTACGTTTCTCTAATCTTCCCAGAGGGTCACTTCAAAGGAGTCTTCAGTAGAATCTGATGAAGGAAAAAGTGGAAAATCTGCAGCATGATATTGAAGATACTAAACTGCAGGAAGGCTAAAATGTTTGTTAATTCCTAACAACAGAGAACAAGTTAATACAATGAAAAAAATACAAAGTTTTCCTTTTTTAAAATAGGAAATCTAAATTATCAGATAGAATAAGGTCCTCTTATTTTTCCTTCCATGTAGGAGATCGTGTAATGCACACACTCTTTCTCCCTGTTACTCTCTCACTCACAAAATTATTTAGGATTTTACGTGTTCTCATTTGGCTGCCTAAAAGGCCAGAAGCCCACATTACAGCCACAGGCTTCACACAGTCAAGGAGCAGATTCTGAAAGTTAATTTTTAAACAAAGGCATTTGGAAGTAAGCATCCTTTTCATAAAGGTCAAAAACTGGAACTAGGACATAGGAATTCTGCAGATTTATCTCTCTCCCTCAGAGAAAATATACAAACTAAATGCCATGCTCAAAGGGGGCTATAGCTCAAAACAAAGCCTGTTTTTTGGCCAATACTCCTGTTGCAGGATGAGGCCCCTGAATTCCTGGACAACTGGGCACAGATACACATAGGATGGAAACATGAAAAACTTCCTTTTCACTTCTCTAGAAATAATAATACTATTTCTCCAGTCTAAAACCCTTTCCAGATTTTTTTCCTTTAGGAAAGTGCTAAGAACAAAGGTTATGGCCTTCTTCTGAAATGGAGTTAAGTGCGTTAGCCAAACTAAACTCTTGTCTAGATGGGATCACTGCCTTCCCACCAGGATCTTCTCATTAAAAATTCAAGATTAAGACACTGACCACAGGAGGGAACTCTTAAGGAGAAGTGATGCAGAAAGGAACTGAGTGGTGACTATTTGGAATGTTAACCTCAAACTTTATTTTAACATATGTAATCATTCCCATGTTCAAGATTCCTGTTACCTGAAATCACTTTGGAGTAGTGCCATGTCAGAAAGCATGGGGTACTACGCCAGTCTGGATATCTCTCTTTGGCCAGGCTTCAAATGGCTTGGAAATATGTTAATGTTAAATTCAATAAAATTGTTTCTGGCAGACTTGAGTCTAAATTGCTGTGTACAGTATTAGTATTAATTTGTGTTTTGACAGTAAAGAAACAATTTATATCATCTTTTCCAAGGAAAACAAATCCCAACATCTCTCTCACACACACTGAGTCATAGCTCATTCAGGCTAAAACTTTGGGCTACATTCTTTGGGAAGGTAAAACAGAATCTCAGATACCTCAAGTCAACAAAGATTTCCAATTAATAGTGTCTCTTTCAGGACACAAACCTACTTTTTTCCTCATATGAAAAATTCAAACATCTGTAAAAGGCACAATAACTTTTCTCTCTCCCTTTAAATAAACAAGCCTCTCTCACACTTGAAAGAAGGACCAAGGATTTAGCCTATTTGAACTCTGCCCTTTGTTCTCAGTTTCATTTTGCTTGGAGAAATCCTCAAATATGGACTAATGTTCACAGCTTCCCAAACACCCTGTGCCTTGCTCTTCAACACGTAGCAGCTCTATGTGTATATACTTTTGCATGTGCATGTATGTGTGAGGGAATATGTGTGTGTGTGTGTATATGAATGTATGTGTGTGCATGTGTACATGTGCAAGCAATTCTATATGTAGTGGGGTGGAAGGGGGGAATATAGGACTCCAAAGGGTTGCAGCTGTCGCTTGCTCTGATAATATCTGGTAATTTTTTTTCTAAAAAGATCAAGTACAGATATGCTGTATGAGGCTTTTAAAGCCACTTCTGGGAATGAAGAATGGAACCCCTTCCTGCCTCCCTGTTCAAGTGTCTACATAGTGACTGGCTTGGGGCAGGCCAAGGGCTCTGAGTCATCCTTCTGGAAAACAATTAAGAAAAGGTGCCCTGGGGATGCCAATGCTGTAGTTTTAACATACTTCACTAAAATTGTCACAAATGCTGATCTAGTGCCTTCAGCATGAATGGAATAAGGCCCGCCAATATTTGGCCAACCAACTCACAGACCAAGTTGGATGACTTCTGCCAGACTGAAGAGTAAAAGGCAATGAGGCCAGGGACAATGGTGGAGTGAGGGTAATGATGCATCAGGGCTGTCATGGCTGCAGGAAAAAAAAGAGAGAGGCACATCAGCACTGTCCTGAAGAAGAGTTTTCAGGAAGGCAGAAGGCCTTCCTGAAATCACACTGAAAATGTCAGTCCAGATTAAGAAAAAACAGATTTCATTTTTCAAAGCAACTACAACCCTGGGAAGATTCCCAAGGACATGCTAGTTATAATCTGAATATATACACAACGGCGAAAAAAACTAATGAAAATTTCCCTAAAACTGAAATGTTGTTTGAACTGTTGAATTTCAGAGTTGGAAGGGAGATCACACTTACTCCAACTGGTAGCTTTCCGAGCACTCACTCTGCTACACCCCCAATAAGGTGGTCAGACAGCATTTACTTGAAGACCTCCAGTGAGGGAGAGCTCACTTTGCCCTCCTGGGGCAATCCACTCTACTTCCTGATAGCTTTAATTGTTTAAAAGGTTTTCATTATACACTAAGCCTGTATCTGTTTCCTGCAACTTCCACACATTGTTCTAGTTCTAATTTCTAGGGACAAGCAGAATAAGTCCAATCTTTTTTCCACATGTCAGCCCTTCAAATATTACAAGACAACTGCCATATTCCCTCGGTGAGGCAGTGGATGGAGTCCTGGGCCTGAAGCCAAGAAGATCTGAGCTCAAATCTGTCCTCAGGTATTTACTAGTTGTGTGACCCTGAACAAGTCATTTAACCTCTCTTCGCCTCAGTTTCTTCCACTGTAAGATGGAGATAATAAGCTCCTACCTCCCAGGGTTGTAGTAAGGATCAAAGGGAGTAATATTTACAAAATGCCTAACACATAGTAGGCATTTAATGAATGCTTGTTCCCTTTTCTCTTTCCCCTCTGATGTCTTCTCTTAAAGTATTAAATTTGCTTTAACTTTCGAGTACTTTCTTGTGTTAAAGTCTTAAGAGTTGCTATCAGGCTTTTAATCTTCAGGTTCTAAAAATGGAACAGCTTTTTCCAAATCTATATTCTAAGGTTTTCTTCCCTTGAACATACAAAACAGAATTTCCCACATTTATGGGGCAGAGGGCTACAATTTAGCATTAGGCCATAAAGAAGCTATATTTATAAATGACTAATTTTCAGATGAAGTTCTTGAAACCAGGGACATTGTGACTTTCTCAGTGAAAGACATAACACAACTACATGGAGCAGCCTGCTTTGACTGAGGAAACGATGAGCTGCTTCTCTCCAATACCAGCACCATTACTGGAAGCAACACTAAAGTCCACCACAACATACTTCGTAAAAGAGCCCAACGATCATCAGTTTCCTTTCCAGCATTCAGATGTGAGAGATTATTGAAATCACAAGCTCTTAGAACACCAGGACAAATGATACTGTGGGCTCTTTCTAGCCTTGTGATGAAGGAAGAGCCCAGAATCCCCAGAGGTGAATGGGGAGGAGAAGCCCTGCCCCTAAAGGGAGGGAAACTGTCTGTCATGGTAAGGGGGTTATTCTAGGATCAGGTATATGGTTGTATCATGTCAGAGACAAAGGAAACAGATCCAAATCCTAGCGCTGCTCTCCTTGCTACCTGGATGACCCTGAGCAGGTCACTTAAAGGGCTCTGGGAGCATAAGTGTTTTCATTTATAAAATGAATTGGTTCAGTGAGAGGAAGATCAAGATTCTCCTTCCAGCTCTAAATTCTACAGTCCTACTACGTACAGGGTCAGAGGTACTTCTTCAAGGGTCAAGTTCGCCAGTAGATATTATTAACAACCACCTATAAATAGCATTACCCATCTTGTGTCTTCTGAAAGAATGAAAATAAACTTAACACACACTATTGAAGAGACGTGAATTTGTCCAAACAATCTGGAGAGCAATGTGGAATTATACCGCTCCCCCAAATCACCAACAGTGCATACCCTTTGACCTAGCAATACTACTACTAAGCATAAAACACAAACAAACACACACACACACACACACACACACCCTCAAAAAGATCAAAGATTGAGGGAAAGAACCCATATGTACAAAAATATTTGCAGCAGCATTTTTTGTTGTAGTAAACACCTGGAAGTCAAGTGGGGGTCCATCAGTTAATGAATGGCTGAACAAATTATATGAATGTAATAAAATATTACTATATCATAAGAAATTACAAAAGGTGAACATGACAGAATGAAGAGTGAAGTGAGCAGAACCAAGAAAACATTATATATAGTAACAGCAATATTGTTTTAAAAATGATTTTCAGTAACTAAGCCATTTTGACTATTATAAATACACAAATTAAAAATAAAATTATTATAATTATATATAATATATATTATAAAAATATTTAAAATATATTAAAA